TCTGTACATTCACGCAGTTGATGGAAGGTAAGGTAGTGATTATGTCATGAGGAATCTCACACACACAGACACGGCGTGCGGACTGGCCTTGTGCTTGGTCTCGTTGTAAACCACCACTACCCTGATGCTATTTAAACAAAGCGACACTTTTTTTCCTGAGCCTGTCCAAGTTACGAGAAAAAGGTAGATAAAAAAAAAAAAAAAAAAAAAAAAAAAAAAAAAAAAAAAAAAGGAGAACAATGTGGGCCTACTTTAGCAGCAGGGAGACAATTTTGTTCTTTTGACGCCAACTTTTTTCTTTTTGCCATCAAATATTTTCCCCCCCCCATTTTTTAAATTATTTTTCGTGCAGAGATCTGTACTCGATCTATGGCCTTGATTGTTTTGCAGAACTTTTGGTCAAGTATTCTGACTGTGAAAAATCCCCCTTTTAGGCATGCTCTCTTTCATGGGCTTGGGCCTCACCGGCACAGGTGAAATGATGTGCGGGCCGAGGCCTCATTCCCTTGCACAGGGAACCAGTTGCCTAATATGCCACAATGTGCTTTGACCACTCCTCTGCCCAACAACTGCCCAGTGCCCCCTCCCTCCCCCGAACCACATACCCTTCGCACTGCCCCTTCGATCCCATGGAGGACAGGTAGACCCAGCCTTGAAAACACCTACCTGTGGTCTATGATGCATCCCCTACGGAACAATCTCACTTAGTTCAAATTTGAAATCCGGGACCTGCTACGCGCCTACTCTCCCTGATACCCTCCACATACCCTCCGAGGGATCCCTCACCCATGTTGACCAAAACTTAGCTGTATCTTTTTCTTCTCTTCTCATTATGATGATCTTCTTTCTTCCACTCCTCAAGAGTTCTAGCCCATCTTTTTTTGACTTCATCAAAAGCTCTGCCCCATCGTTTTTTGACTTCATTAATCACCCCCTTAACTGACTGCTGGATCTCTGAGTTATGCCAGGACCGGGCTACCCCAATAGGATGAGAGAAAGGAGGTGCTCATAATTCTCCTCTAGCTTGTGGCAATACCTGAGCTTATTCCTCACGTGGTCCACACTCATCCAACCTTAAGACTGCCTCTTCCTGGATATCAATCGTTCTCATTGGCTCGTCTTTCTCCTCTTCCCTTCCCACCCGTTCTTCATGTGCTCCAGCCCGCATTCCGCTGTTTTTGCTCCTTGTCCCACCTGAAGTCTGTCCCACCTGAAGTCTGGCCCGTCCTGCCCCCCCCGTGTCCTAACTGCTGCCCCCGCATCCTCAATTACCAGGGCCAGAGACTGACAGAGCTTGCAAACTCCTACTTCTCATTTGCCACACCCGACCCATGTCATGGCTTCATTCTCTTCTGGTTTCTTTTCCTGTGGGGAGTCGGGAAACAATACCAGTGACAGTGACAGGATTACTTCTCCTCGGAGGGATTACTGCAGAATTCCATGCTCTCTGTTAACCTCTGGTCTGCCAGCGGAATGGGGTTGTTGTGTCCGCCCGTCTCTGGCTTATGCCATTGCCTCCATTTATGTTGGCTGGCCACTAAGTGCCCCCCCCCCCCCTCTTCCTTGAATAATTCATCTTCACCTGTGGTTGTCAATATAGACGTCTCCTCAGTATGTCTGGGATGGCCTCCACCGTGCTTGGGATTTTAATATTTTATGCAACTGCTTTGATTTCACTCTCGATTATGTCGTTAGTTGAAGTCCGTTCTGCTTCCTTCAGCAGCTCCTAGTCTTCGATGAGTTCCAGACACCCTCTTTTCCTTATACCTCGTAAAGGAGGCTCTTATCCTGTCGTTCTTCCCTCCACTTCCACTTCTCTTAAGCTGGTCAGTGCGCTGTTGGTTGTTTGCCTTTGTGAACTACAGCCGTTTGCGGGCTCTAGACACTGTCCAGATGCGTAGATCGGACAATGCGGGAGGCGGTTAACGGAGGCTAAGGGGGTTTAAAGGGGGGTGTCTTAGTGTGATTTTGTTGTTTTATTTTTTATCTCCGATTCGGTGAGGAGTTCTGTCGTGACCCTCAGCCAAAAGCTGTTTGTATTGCAATTCTACACAACATATTTTTTTTTCTGGAATTTTTTTACTTTTTTTTTTTTTTTTTTTTTTTTTTGCGCTGGGGCTACCTGGAACCCTGCCCGGGGGTCATGCCCGACCGGGCACCCGGGCGTGTATCCGGGCACAAGTTGGGTGCCCGGGCGCCCAGAAAAACAGCCTAGATAAAAACAAAAAAAAACTATAAAACAGCAAGTCAAAAGTGCACTTTCATGAAATTACGTCAACGTTCGAATTTCAGAAATCTTATCAGAGGAAATTCCAATGTAAAAGGGCCTTTACCTGCTACAGGCCTTGTAAAAGTAAAGCATTGTGAAGGGGTATCTCGCCAGGACCCAGAAACATGAAAGCAGGTCAAAGGTCAAGTTCTCTAGCAAAGGGCACATCCTAAACTAAAGCAAAGGTCACTGCAGCAGAACATACCTGTTCGCCATGAGATGCATATGTCATGTCTGTTCAGATAAGAGTGTGTCTGTACGTGCAGTCAGTATGTCTGTTCGTAACAAAAGAGAGTGTCTATTCACACAATGAGAGTGTCTGTTCAGGCAGTGAATGTGTCTGTTCGTCTAAAATTGTGCCTGTCCGAGAGTAAGTCAATAGGTAAAGTCCCAGTTCTGGTCTAAGTCGAGGGGACAGTCCAGATCCAGACATCCAAAGTCCAAATCCAGGCCGAGAGGCCTCAGCAGCAGTTGACTTCATTGGGACTGTACTGGGACACATACAATGCAGGGTCTGGGACAGAAGGAGGCCTGAAGCAGCCAAATGCAGACCCAGCGAGGAGAGGCCAGCACTATAAAGGAAGCAGCCAGCCTCATTCCTCGCCAGATATCCACTGGCATTCTACGCATGGAAGTGCTGAAGCACTTGTGCGCCAGTCAGTAGGAGCAGCGCTGGAGGATGAAGATGCGCTAAGAGGGAGGAAGAAGACTGTGCGCTGGAAGGGATGCAGCCATAGYTGCCCAGCGAGTTAGTATAGACATAGAGGGTTAGTAGTTAGCTATGAGTAGCATTCAGAGTAGATCCTTGTGAGTGAAGAGTGTGTATGCATCGTAGGAGGAAGGGACTGAGACAGGGAGAGTGTTCCATCAAGGTTCAGCTATGAGGGATACTCACCTGAGATGGGTATGAGCTGCAGAGGTGGCGCTGATGTGTAGTGACCACATTGATGACCAGGATACAATCTGCAGAAGTAGTGCTAATGTATGAAAGTCACAGTGATGAGTTGATGCTGGATTTGCGTTGCGCTGATGAGCGCTGGACTTGGGGAACTATGAAACTCTTTGTAACCATATTTTTGATAATATAAGTTGTGCAACTCGGTTCTCTTCTCATCTATCTTTGTCTAATGTGTGAGACTCGTGATCATTGTGTGCAAGGATGATGCGTGACATGTACACACTTGCGTGAGATGGTCTTCAGGACCCATGCAAATGGCCCAAATTATACCAAATTTGGCACACAGTAACCTTAAACCAAAACAAAAACAGGCAAAAAAAAAAAAAAAAAAGTAAAAAAAACCTAAAATTTGACCCCCAAACCTGGGTTACCAGCTGGGCTGCCCAGGTCACCCTATTTTCTCGGATGGCCCGGCCGTGCAAGGACCAGGCTTTGTCCTAGCACAGGGGGGGGGGAAGGAGAAACCCTCTGGAAAAACACTATGTTATGCATAAAAATAAACTGAACAACCTTTCCCTCAGGGTCACATCAATTTTTTTGCCAAATTTAAAATAAAAAATAAAGTTAAAAACTAGGCTACCGGCCGGGCCGACCGGGTCCTGGGTGGCCAGCCCGTGCAAGGACCAGGGAAGGTCCCAGCCAAAGGGGAAAAAAAAAATCCAAAAAAATCCGAAAAAAAAACTATGCTCTGCAGTGCAGAAAAATAAACTGAACAACGTTTGCCTCAGGGTCACATCGAAATTCTTCACCAAAATTAGAATAAAAATTAAAATTTAAAAATAATGTTTTTATTTTTATTTTGTTTATTTTTTGTGGCCCGGCCGGGCAAGTGACCCCAGGCCACTCTGGTAGCCTAGCCCCAAACCCTAATTTCAGTTTTGGACCCATTAGTCAGGAGAGCTGAAAGTGGGGGTCCCCGTTAACCACTTGTGGACAATGCACACATAAGACCAGCTTAAAGCACCAGTACACTGCACATCAGCCTGTGGGGTCAGCATGAAACCTGCACCACTTAGGAGGCTACCGACGTTTTTTTATTTTCAACGGCGCGAAGGGCCGCGGGCCCCTCCGGTTTTGCTTGTGGCGACAAAAACTTTCTGCAAAGCTGGGGCCGTGTACTAGTGGTTTAAACCACCAGTTCACCCGGACCTGTTTAGACAAAAAACAGGAATTGAATCGGTTGACATGAAGGCAGGGATCGGACAATGCGCACACGGAAACACACATGAGACGAAATATGGTGTGGAAGTGTGTCAAAAGGCAGATGGGTGTGTAGTCGCCTAGTACTCAACTACAGAAACCTGTCGAGCGTTGCACCAGTCAAATGTGCAGCAAAAATATGACAAAGTCAACAATAACTCCAAGATTATTCACATCGAAAAGGAAATTCAGCGATGTTTTTTCTAATTATCTATGCATACGGGGTGGAGGGGGTTGATGCGATGTTTGTTTAGAACACAGCTGAAAAAGGGGTTGTTGCTGTGGCGATTGTTTTAAGAATAAACAAGAGAGAGAAGGGCGATGCGATGATTGGTGGTGAAGCACCGAAGTAGCGTCTCACGTTAACGACTCTTATTCGCTCGCTTTTTCTCTAATTTGTGACCGTCTTTTTTTCTCGGACTATTCTGGCGGTTACCCTGGTATGTATTTCTCTGCATATATATCGTCAACCGTTTGAGATTAAGACATCTATGAAATCTGAAGGACTCTCCCTGCCTTGTTATGACAGATGAATTTGCAACCATTTTGGACGGGAAAGCGATTGCCGCACAGATCAAGACGGAGGTCGCGGCAGAAGTGGCTCGCATGCGTGATGGAATTGGAAAGGTTCCAGGGTTAGCTGTTGTCCTTGTGGGGACACGCAAGGACTCTGAGACCTATGTCCGTAGCAAAAAGAAGGCCTGTGCTGAAGTTGGGATCAAGTCGTATGGCAAGCACTTGCCGGAGGATGCATCAGAGGATGAGATAGTGAAAGTCGTTGAGGCATTCAATGCTGATCCAGAAGTACATGGGGTGCTCGTGCAGTTACCGCTTCCCCAGCATGTAAACGAGGAGAGAGTGCTTGCTTCCGTGAGCGAGCATAAGGACGTGGATGGCTTTAATCCGCTAAACCTTGGGCGACTGGCAATGCAAAGGAGGGAGCCGATGTTCGTCCCTTGCACGCCATTGGGTTGTGTCGAAATCTTGCAGCGCTCAGGTGTTCAGATCGCTGGTAAGAGAGCCGTGGTACTGGGAAGGAGTAACATTGTGGGCATGCCAGCAGCCTTGCTGCTGCAGGTAATTACGCTCTCGGATATCATAGCCATTTCATCCCTATCATTTGTGTCCCCTCTGTCGTCAAGGAAAGGCTAACTCCCGAGTCTTCTCTTATCCTTCCCTCTGCTCTCATCTTTATTTATTTCACATTCCCTTCCTCCTCCCCCCCCCCCCCCCCCCCCCCCCCCCCCCACACACACACACCCTTTTCCTAACAACACACCCTCCTGTGCTGGTAGTGCTGGTAAGAGCAGACACTACTAGCACGGGGGGGATGGGGAGCATCACTGCTGGAAATCGGGTCCAGTGTCCCATATACAAGGTAACCCAGACGAGCGTCCAAAAAGTAACTGAGAGCTGCCTGCCAGCATTGATTGCTCTGAATATTCAGAGGATTGACCGAGCAGGCTTACTGCAATGAAGTAAAAGAATTGTAAAATGCAATTACTTTGTCTTCCTTTGCTCCGTGTTTCCACTCTCCGTATACCGTCTCCTTATAATCTGCCTCTTTTCTTTCAGTGTCTTACGATCCTGGTCACTCCCAAAGTGCAAATTCACAATGAAAGACAATGCCACCCAATTGCGAAAGAAATGAAAGCACTTGCAAAGAGGTAGAGACCAAAGAAGAGAGAAAGAAGAAGAAGAAGAAGAAGATGTACACCAGCAAGACCAATGACAAATCCCCCTTCTCTCTCCACCTTCCTCCTGCTCGTTGACTTCGCCAATCTTATTCTTCTCCCAAATAATAATAACAACAATGAGTGGATGAACCAGAATCAATATCCAAAGTTCCCTCTTGCTACTAGCACGGTCCACCATAGCCATGGCTTCCCCCTTCTTCCTCCTCTCACATGGCAAGGCTATGGCGGACTACTAAGGGCTCGGCGCGCTTGTGCAAAGGACAACACAAAGCAGCTATGTCGCTGCTTATCAGGCCGCCATGCCTGACTCTGCCTCGAGCTTCCTTGGTGCGACACTACCCCAACTGGGGCCTTCCAGATGCAGCGCCTATCAAGGTGATTAAGATGGTGTCCACCATAGCCAGGTAGGTACCTCGCCACTCTCTCATTTGCCCCCTTCTTCCTCCTCCTCAGGTCGCCATAGCCAGGCTGAGCGCCCAGCTGCTCTCCTTCCTCCAGGCAGCGCTACAAGTCCAGCGCTCGGCTCCAGCAGTATGTCGCCAGTCCTTGCACACCGCAAATGAGGAGGAGCTACTTGCTCCTCCCGAACATATAGCGGCCTACTTGCCTCTTAGGCGGTGACTTCCTAGGCCGCGTGGCCTCCCAGCAACCAGTACCTCCTCCCTTTCGGAGGGAAACATCATTGCAAGCTGTGATTCGTCGGTACAGGCCCTGGACTCGAGCAACTTGGACTGGTACCGTCCTATCTCTAGCCTACCGCTACTGGGCCTCTAAAAATGCCAACTTTTTGTCTTCTTCTGCTCGGCCTCGAGTACCCGACACTTCTACCACTTCTTGCCCACTTTGTCTTCGGGCTCACTGCAGACCACCTCGCACAAGTCGCTGTGGCAGCGCTTCCGCATGGCTCACGCAGGAATGAATGAATGGCTGGGCGATGCCTCTTGATTTATACTTCTGTAGCCCGTTGGTATGGCCCTTTCCCATGCCCGTGGTGCACACAGTCCCATACGGTACTTGCTTGACTGGACTAGGACTGACTGGGACTGGGACCGCTGACTCAGCACGGGTAGACTCCACCACTTGCCCACTTGCCTCAGCCTAAACGTGAGCAGCTCCGAAAGGCCAGTACCAGGACCTTTCGGAAGTTTCCACTCTGGCCTTTCGGATACTGTAGCAGCTACGACCTTGACCTTTCAGAGGTCCTACAGCTATGACTTCTAGAACTCCGTAAGACCACTATGCTACAGGTCTACAGATCGAACCCCTATCACCTACAGACCCTACGACAGTCTACCAACTGTGGGAACAGACACAGGTCGTGGGTTCAACTCCTGGGGTCGACACAGGTAATGTACACAGGTAATGTACACAGGTAATGTACACAGGTAATGTACACAGGTAATGTACACAGGTAAGGTAAGGTCTAGGGATCGAGCCCTGGGATCTGCATTCAAGACGAAGAAGGGAAGGAGGAGGGAGGGGAGCCTATGGAGCAAGCCTACGGAGGGAGGAGGAGGGGGAAGGGAGACTGATGGAGGGAGGAGGAAGGGGAAGGGAGACTGATGGAGGAGGAGGGGAGAGGGAGTCTATGGAGGGAGGAGGGAGGATATGGCAGACGGAGCAGAAACATAATCAAGCATTCCCTTCCCCTCAAAAAAAAATGACGATTTGTTGACGAAGCGCTATGGCGGAGGAAGAAACGGGGAGGAAGAAGTGGAGATCAGAAGAAGAAGAAGAAGAAGAAGAAGAAGAAAAGAGAAGAAGAAAGAAAAGAACTGATGAAGAATAAGAACAAATAGAAGAAGAAACGACAAAGAAAAACGTAGTAGAGATGAAGAAGAACAAGTAGAAGAAGAAGAAGAAGAAGAAGAAAACTGACCTGAGTTGGCGATGACGGCGCAGGCAGTCTTCGCCAGGGGCAAGGAGGATGGCGTGGCTGTATGGCGATGACGATGGCGCGCCGGAGGGCAGCAGGGTGATGACGACGACGGCTCGGCAGGGTGAAGATAACGATGGCGCGGACGACCACGCAATAACGGCGGGGAAACAACGAGCTGGTGTGGGGGGGTAGGGCGGGGGCGCAGGGCGGAGGGTGCGGGCCGCACGGTAAGTCCCCAAGATTTGAATTCAAAATCTTGGGACTTCCGTGCCATCGATCAACGCAGATCGACGGCCCAGGTCTGGAAAAAAAAAAACTACGAAACGGGGCTTACTGGATCCTTAAAAACATTGGGGCGGCCGCCAAATTTTTTTTTTCCCTCTGGGCCTCCAGCCCACAGCGCCAATTTTTTTTTTCGAAGCGATTTGGGGGGCGGCACTGTGGGGGCCTGGGGGCCTGGCCGGGGGGGTCGCACGGCCAGGCGCCCCAAGCGCCCTTCCGGGTGACCTGGGGTGGCAGGGGTGCCCGGGCTGGAAAGCTAGACTAGAAATTGTGTTGTGGCTTTTCTTCCCCGTTTGCGTCTTTTCTCGTCCACTTCTTTCCTTGGATTAAGAGATTGTGATGCTGAGGAGGTTGTTGTATTTTCAAAACGACATTTGTTCTTTCGGAACCTCTCCTGCTTTGTTTTCTTCTTTCAACAGGGAGATTGAGTGCAAGGCTTTTGCTCTGTCTGGTTTTGTTTCTGTCTTTCAACAGAGATTTAATGCGACTGTCACTATTGTGCATTCACAAACTCCAAACCCAGAGGAGATCACTCGCACTGCAGACATTGTTATTTCTGCCGTTGGCATTCCGGAGCTTGTACGCGGTCATTGGTTGAAGCCGGGAGCAGTCGTCATCGACGTCGGGATAAATCCTGTTGATGTGAGGACTCCACAGCCCATTCCCTGCTGATCCCCCCTTCCATGGCTTCAAATTAAAACTTGTGTTCTCTTTTCTGAAGTTTTGTTATTTTGTTGTCCCCCCCGCTCCTGACGGTATATTGTACGCAGTGATAGTTCAGTGCTCGTGACACCTGGTCTGCCGTTGAGTGGCGGGCAAGGTTCGACCTGACACGCGGGTCAGCTGTTGTATCTTTGTCCTCTACATTTGAGTGCATTTAAGCCCAGTCTGTGGACTGGTTTGAAGTACCCATGTGTTCCATTTGAGGGGATGCAGTGTGCTCACAGCAGAATGCAAGGGCTTAGGGGTTAAGGTAAGGGCTTAGGGGTTAGGGTAAGGGCTTAGGGCTTAGGGTTTAGGGTTTAGGGTTTAGGGAATGAGAAGGTGAAATAACCAGAACCTGTTACAATGAAACTCAAACAAGGTGTACTCTGGATTCAAATGTCTAATAAGCCATGACTTTTGATACTGAGCCTAGAATGTCCTAACTAGAGAATAGTTGCTGTAATGTTGGAAGTGAACAGAAGGGGGGGTGAGATTTTGAATGGCTGGCAGTAGACAACAGCATACTCAGCAGGAGTTGGATGGGATCGCATCTTGCCTCTCGAGAAGGGTTTGCAGGCGAGTGAAAATAGCAGCCTTCCGATCCCCTCAGTGAGGTGGGAAAGAAAAAGGAAAGGAGAAAAGAATGACAAAACTCACAACGGCTGAACAGAGAGTGATGCCGAGCGGGAACTGCCAGAGGTAAGTCGGTGCATCCCTACGATCTTCACCGGAATACAATGTCCTGTCATGATAGCTGTATTTGGGGCAACATCGGGTCTGGATACAGCAATAATGACTGGATGTTGTATTTGGGTGAAGACGGTAGAGTGGTACGAGATTCGATGAGGCGAGTGAGAAATACCAGTCTACAGTTGCAAGTCGTATGCTTGCGAGTATAGCCCATAGCCTTGAGTACCAATAGTCAAAGACACAGGGACATTGCATGTCATAGAGTCACAGTCTCGCAGAATCACGATGTCAGAAGTTGCGTAGGCTCAAAAGCCAGCTAGCTGGAAATACGACGTGAGAGATGTGCACTAGGAGGGCACAAACAAGTGGCCAAAAGACCATCCAGTCCAACACTACTATGGCTTGGTATCTCGCCTTCTTCGCTGCTGCTGCTGTCGCCACTTTCTCCCACTCCTATCCACCTTTGCCTCTCTCCTTCCCTACTGCTCTGTCAAGATCGCAATGGAGCTTACACCTAGCTCTCCATTGCTAGTCCCATCTGCTCTATTGCAAGTCCAACACTGTAGTGTTGTTGCCTATGTGTTTCCGGCCACTACTTGTACCCACTTGGGAACTCTTTTCTTCGCAAGGATGAGTGAATGCTTGGATGGGTTGCCTGTCTGTGGTTTGCTGTTGTCGTGCCGAAGAGGCATCTTTGATGGACGGTCTGATGATGGATGCCTCCTCTGACAGGGCCTTTGTGACGGCTGATCTGATCATGAATGTGTTGATGACGACGGGGAGGCACGCGAGGTGGAGGAGGAGGAGGAGGAGGAGGAGGAGGGAAGAGAGAAGGAAGAGGTGGAAGGTGATTATGGCAGCGATGGTGGTGGTGGCGGTGCTGGGGGTGGTGGTGGTGGTGGTTGAGTACCCTTTCAACAACGGTTGCCGCATTGGTAGGATACAGGCCTTCATCCCTGCAGATGCTTTGACTATATAAAGTGTGACGGCCTCGGGATATCACATCGAACTGACGGGCGCTAGGTAATTGGGAATTGTTGTAATTTTACTCATCTGCTTCCGGTGGAATTCAAACTCAGGTCTGCATTTTAATTTTTAACAGTTCAGGGGTGTACCAACTGAGCTAAGCCAGTTCTACCACGGAAGAGGAGACAAATAACTTCTCGAGGTGTTGATGGGTATGTTTGTGTCATTCTCTGCCTGGGGACGGTGTTGGTTGTGCAGGATCCCACCCAGAAGCGAGGATACCGTCTGGTTGGCGATGTATGTTTCGAGGAGGCCAAGAAGGTGGCGAGTGCTGTCACTCCTGTTCCAGGAGGTGTTGGTCCTATGACCATTGCTATTTTGCTGCAGAACACACTCTGCTCAGCCAAGAGGGCATTTGGTCTTCCTGAGCGATAATGATCGTACGTAAGTGTATTCAGTTTGACCACTTGTCTGTGAGAGGGAGCATATTATTGCCCCTCTCCGCATGAGGAAATGTTAGGCAAGTATTGTGTCGACAGATGTGCTTGTCGGATGGTCGAATGGAGGAGTTTTGCAGCGGATAGAATCATGATGATAGATGCCATCTTACGAGTGTAGGGTGTGTTTATGAGTATAGAGAGCCATCTAAGGAATGCTGGTTGTCTTTATGAGTTTGGAGAGCTGGCAACTGCCTTGAGAGAGGCTAGTTGTTGCCCTTCTGGTTGGGTCTTTTGTTCTTCGTTCTTTTTTGTCATTTGTTTTGACGATAGGCAAGGATTCAGATTGGTCAGAAGGATAGATTTTGGAGCCGTCAGTCATGATCAGTGTCCCTGGAATTGTGGGCGAACATTACGGCCACAACTGGAAGATGGTTGATGACCCACTAACCATCGATGTCCGTTACGGTGAATCAATGTTGGTTGAAGAGCTGAAAGCTTGTTTAGTTTCACCATTTTGTCCAGATAGCAGTTTTTTTAGAGTAGTCATCTGTTCTGCCTATTTTCTCATCACAGTTTTCCTTCTGAATACCTGCCCAATCCACCACATCTCTCTCTCTCTCTCTCTCTCTCTCTCTCTCTCTCTCTCTCTCTCTCTCTCTCTCTGTGTGTGTGTGCCCCCTTACCCCCACCTACCCTCTCATCTCCATAAATTGCTTGTGCTTGAGACTGCTGACGCCGTGTGGATGGACTAGTGGGAAAATGTTTACGCCCTCTGATTGGTAGCTCGCTTCTGCACAACTGGCTGGTGGAGGAATGATCCTGCCTAGAACTTGTTGATTGACAGGTTAAGTGTTTGAAATTTGAATCCTGTCTGATTCAATAATGTTGTGCCATTTATTCAATGAAAGAGAGATCCTGCCGTCTTGCAGCCTGAGTCGGGTGATGTATTCAGAAATAAAAAGCAGATGGCTTGGTTCTGTCAGGGATTGCAATCATGTTGGCTGACCCTAGAGCGCTGTTTGGCTGCTTGCATACTCCTCAACAAGCACCAGCTGTTGTGTTAGCAGGGTGTGGACAGAAGTGCCCTTCATCATGTTTTCTTTTTCAGGATGTCATTGCCATCGTCATTCTGCCACAAAGCCTGGCTTCAACAAACGTAAAACTCGAAGAAGGTTACCTGCCAGAAAGTTTGAAATCTTTGTGTGCAACCAGAAGGTTATTTGGAATCCACATATACCAGGTGAGGTCCAACACTGCAAACTGACTATTTTTTCATGTGCCATTCGTGGTCCTATATCGCAGATGCACTCTTTCGATCTCTCCCTTTTTTGTGTGTGTGTGTGTGTGTTTTTCCCGGTTTTTACAAACTTTTTTGAGAGATGCCCGCGGATTGGTTCCATTTTTTTTTTTTTTTAAACGCTAGATGTGACTCAGGTGGTGTTGCATTTGTTGCCGGCGCAGACGCTACTCACTGCCTGCGGGGGTATGTAGCGTTTTGTCAACTACGACATTGTTCAGGACATGTCTAAAACGACTCTAAAACAATACCAGCTTCTGATCTTGAGCTTTCCATGTCTCTTCCTTCTAGTAGTGTGTGGATCCCATCTCTGTTTTGTGCGATTTGCTCAGTGATCGGTTGGCTCCGATTGTCGTTGTCTATAACACTATAGAAAGGCCCTGAACGACATAAGGGCACCATGTGTGTGGTTCATCGTTTGTGCATGTGAACGCCCCCAATTGCAGGCCAATCTCCACGGCGGGACAATCTGGGCCATTGGCACGTGCAGAAGGTCTAACATTGCGGGCCGATCTGAATTTTTGGTGAACAGCCTGCAATATGGGCCTTTCTTCCCATGAATGGCCCAGATTGTGGGCCCTGTTAACTTGTGGTGATCAGCCTGTGATCTGGGCCTCGTGTTTAGCAAACAGCCCAGATCGCAGGCCTATCTGGCCATTACCGTCTGTCCGTCCAAGGCCCACTGCTCGAAGGGCCATAGCACTACGAGGTGACACAAACAAAGTTGCCTCGCACCGATAGTGCCTGTCCAAAGCCAACTGGCCGCCACACACCACACACTCTGCCTCCTGAAATAACGTGCAAGTGGGCCGTGAATTCACACCGGGATGTGGGCAGCTGCCGCTCAACCGCAATCAACGTTGGCAGCCTTGTGCGTAAGAGGCACAGTAAAACGGGAGCCGCAAGAACAATGAAACGGGTACCCCAAGGACAACCAAAAAACTGTCTAATTATAAATTTGCTTTAATATTTTGGACATCTCAAATGCTCTCGTTGTCTGCAATAGGACAAAGACTGCTTTGATTCTGAATTGCGGCTGTTGTGGGGAATTGCGGCTGTTGTGGGGAAAATCTAAAACACCCACACCCACACCCACACCCACACCCACACCCACCCCCCCCCCCCCCCCCCCCCACACACACACACACACACAGAGTGAGAGAGAGAGAGAGAGAGAGAGAGAGAGAGAGAGAGAGAGAGGTGAGCCACACGTACTGTCCTGAAATTTCTATGCCCATGTCCCCAATCTTCAGCCTCCCCTTCCCACCTTAAGGCCCATGTGTGTATTTTGCAATCCCGTCTCCTTTTCTTTTCTTTTCTTTTCTTTTCTTTTTGATTAAAAAATCGGGACATCCGTTAAAATTGGAACGATACAGAGAAGATTAGCATGACCCCTGCGCAGGGATGACACGCATAAATCGAGAAATGTCTGAAATGGTCCATTAAAAAAAAAAAAAAAAAAGGGCAGGCTTGAGATATATCCACAGGTGACCGTCTCAATTTCTTTTCTGTACAATAAAACCAAATAAAATAAGGAGAAGCAAGCAAGACCACCNGAACTGCCCGGTAAACCGTTGGCAGAGAGAAAGAAGAGGACAACAAACGAGGGGCTGTGACAAACTGTTTCATCGGAGTTTCACCGACTCATCAGGAGGCTGAACCCTCAACAATCTGCAGAATCCCCTCACTGATTACCCTGTAAATGATAATCTACCTTAACGAAAATCAAAGTAAACTATCACTCACCCATACCAGATGGAAAACTCTACAGACTGTCGRTTCACACCCCATCACAAGCCAGCAAAACATCCACGAAACAAAGAAAGGTCTGTCACAGCCAAAAAATACACTCCAGACACGCCGCTGGCACTAGAGGCACAACATGGCCGCCTAGTAACGGCCCCGACCACTGCCGCTCGACCTGACCGGAAAAAACCGTAGCAGGAAGCTAGCGAAGTCGTAGCATATATCGTCACAAACGGAACTGCCCGATAAACCGTAGGCAGAGAGAAATAAGAGGACAACAAACGAGGGGCTGTGACAAACTGTTTCGTCGGAGTTTCACCGACTCATCAGGAGGCTGAAGATATATATATGTATATATATATATATATATATATATATATATGTATATGACGTTTTGTAGGTATAAATGCATACAGACCCTCCGTGACGGGAAGGGAGAGGTATCAGGCCGTCCACGTCGCTGATGTGAAACAGATGCGCCCCTCCCGCCTCTCCCTCCCGCCTCTCCCTCCCGCGGCTCCCTCCCGCCTTTCTCTCTCTCTCTCTCTCTCTCTCTCTCCTGTCTCTTATACACATCTAGATGTGTATAAGAGACAGGTGCATGCTGTGCAGGCATGTGCATTAACATATCGATTCATTGATGACATCCTATCATGGAAGACATCTCTGCCGCCCCCTGCTCTGTATGATCTTGAGTGGAAAGATACTTGTGAGCAAGATGGGTCATGTCTTTTCCTTGGGGCTAGAACCCTGGCTCGACCAGACGGCTCACTGTAGATGTTATCGTAATGGCTGCAGGGGACGAAGGCCTGCATCTTACCAAGACGGCGACTGCTGCCATTCCCACCTCCACCTTTGCCTAACCCACCACCCCCACCACCACTGCCACTACTGCCATCATTCCCACCATCATCATCACGACCACCACCGCCATCACCACCATCTCCCTCGCCGACATCCTCTACTACATCACCCCCCCAGTCCTCTGCCTCTTCTCCCTCTTCCTCCTCCTCATCCTCCACCTTGCATGCCTCCCCTTCGTTGTTGACCACTTTTTTTTCTTTTCTTTTTTAAGCTGGGCTTGGTGTACCAGGTGGGGCTATAAGAGCACCTTCCCTGGTAGCCCACCGCTGGATGCTCCAGTCTATTGGTGGAGAGGGGTACCTGCTGGAATCTGAGTCCAGCGTCCAATGATACATGACAATTGACAATGTCTGAATGTGTCTGAATGTCAGGGCCACTGCCAATCATACTGAGATACTTAAGAATCTCTAATCCTGGAACCTCTTCACCCTGCCGTTGGGCACCAGACCGTGGATTACGCCCGGATGCTTGCTCGCCGAGTTCGAAGCCTTCAGTGGTCCTCGGTAGTGTGGGGCCTCTTGGAATTGCCGATGTTTACCTCTGGGGGGCACTGGGGGGGTTGTAGTCTTTGTCGATCTCATCATCAACACATTCATGGTCAGATCCATCGTCACATTGCCCGTTACAGATGCCTCTTTGACGGAGATGGGGAGTGTCTCCGTCACCGCCTCCAAGACAGTGGCCTCGCTCGTCCTTGAACAGCATGATCACCCCCACCCCCTGCAGGGGTTAAAGATCTGCTCCGACAATATGTGCGCAACCGTACGGTACGACATCGTCGCTCTCAATATACATTAACGCGAAACAGTACATATCTAGTCCATTGCCCGCAATGTGGCGACGACTTCTTTAGTGCTGCATGGCTGTGGGTGCACCAGGCCCATGGTGCAGCTACCTGTGCAGCATTTGCACGACTGGCAGCCAGTCGGAGAACAAGTGCGGTTGATCAGCTTCCGCTTCGTGCATACCCGTTTGTCATCCGCCTAGCCGTGCTTCTTCCCCCGCCCCAATTGACAGTGATCCACCATGGGATCACCTGATGGAGCCCCTGACTGAAGATGATCTCCCTCCTGAGTGCATACCAGAGCCCATGGAGTTGATATAGCCGGAGGAACTGGACAGTAATAGTCAAGACCGCAATGAAGCTTCACCTGCCATGCAATCTGCAGAATTGGATGAATGAGATGATATCGTGGAGCTACAGTGTGGCTGCTGTGTGTACTTTGCCATTAATGTATGTCTCCTCACTTACAATTGCAATCCTTATACTGTTCCGGATTTTGCAGACGTTGTCCGCTGGATAGAAGCAGAGCATCGTGCTGTCTTCTGAGAGGACGACAGCACTACACCTGGTGTGAACGCAAGTCCTGTCCATGGCATTTATGGGTAGGCGACTACAACTCCAGCCTACTCCACAGAATCGCATGCCAGGCATGGATCTGAATATTTGTGCATACATCCTACATCGTCCAGGTCATTTCAGTGTTCTTACCTTTGCAGATAACCCATGGTCCCTATGGGACAGTGGCGATAGGGTGCACACAACGGGAAATATCAACTCTTTCTATCACCAAGCGGTAGAATATCACTTGGTCTGGCTTGTCCATCAGGAACACTATGTCGTTGCGGACGCACAAGGCTCTACGACCTCTAGAGAGCAATCCGGTTGAACCTCCTCCTTCCCCTATGCATGTCCAGGTAGCATCCCCTCCCTGTGTAGACTGGACGGAGTCTACCATGGACAGTGAAGGACCCTCTCCCAGTGTAGATTGGATGGTGTTTTTTCTGTTCTCTCTCTCTCTCTCTCTCTCTCTCTCTCTCTCTCTCTCTCTCTCTCTCTCTCTCTCTCTNCTCTCTCTCTCTCTCTCTCTCTCTCTCTCTCTCTCTCTCTCTCTCTCTCTCTCTCTCTCTCTCTCTGTGTGTGTAGACTGGATGGTGTTTACCATGGGCAGCTAGAGCACGGGTGGCATGCACACGGCATAGTCTCTGATCTGAATACTACAAAGGGGTGGTCAGTGCCAGTCTCTGCTGCAAAAATTGCCACCCTTCGTCTTGTACCCATCCCTTCCACCCCCTCCCTAATTACTTGCCCTGTGTGCATCGTGGCCTTGACATGCTATGCCTGAATAGCTGTGAACGTGAGCCTGCTTTCTTGCTGACATGTCAGCCACATGCCATGTGTCATCAGTGTTTCCAAGCAGCTGTCATAGAAAGCATATGTCTCTGCCGCGTGGATTACACCGGATGCCATTATCCGCCACA